ACGTATACAATTGAGAGTTAGAAACAAATACCTACGGAAGACAGGTGATTGATATAATATATACACATATACAATTGAGAGTTAGAAACAAATGGTTAGTAGGACAGGTGATTGATATAATATACACACATATACAATTGAGAGTTAGTAACAAATACCTACGGAAGACAGGTGATTGATATAAAATACACACATATACAATTGAGAGTTAGAAACAAACGGTTAGTAGGACAGGTGATTGATATAATATACACACACATACAATTGAGAGTTTGGAACAGATACCTACGGAAGACAGGTGATTGATATAATATACACACATATACAATTGAGAGTTAGAAACAAATGGTTAGTAGGACAGATGATTGATATTATATACACACACGTACAATTGAGAGTTAGTAACAAATACCTACGGAAGACAGGTGATTGATATAATACACACACATATACAATTGAGAGTTAGAAAAAAATGTTTAGTAGACCAGGTGATTGATATAATATACACACACATATAATTGAGAGTTTGGAACAGATACCCACGGACATCTTATTCGGCGCATGGGATAGTACAATAGTTCTGTCGGATTTTAACGCGCCCATTCCTGGTCTTGTTTTTACATACAACATGCTTGCGAATTACTACCGTATGCGTAGTGCATGTCGAGCAATCACTCACCATGAGACACTTGTGCCATAACTTCACGTGGAATGGCAGTACCATACGCCCAAAGAAAGGTAGGGGGTCTACACAACCCGAGAACGAACTACCACCAACTCTGCATCAAATACACACACAATGACCCACCCCCCACACACTCACCTGTGATATACCAGCACCCAGCACCGCCCCGGAGTGGATCATAGGCCCTTCCTTCCCCACCATCAGTCCTCCGGATGTCGAGAACAACACACCAAACACCTTGCACGCGAGTGTTTTGAGCCGCACCACATGCGCAATCTTGATGCCGTTCAGATAGCACTTGACTTCAGGGATACCACTGCCGGCTGCAACGGGCTGTGTGGGACAGGCGTGTATCGAATAAGTCGAGTGCATGGCGTTGATTCATGAAGGTGGTGTGTAGAGGTCAGCGTATATTTGATGAAGAAGACGCTGTTATATGTGCGGCCTAAGACCGGTAAGGAATCGCTTGATGTTATGGAGCTGTGGGCTGTGTGGGAAAGGCGTGTAACACATAAGTCGAGCGCATGGCGTTGATTCATGAAGATTGTGTGTAGAGGTCAGTGTGCACTTTAAAGGGGAAGACGCTGTTATATGTGCAGCCTACGACCGGTAAGGAATGGCTTGCTCTCGGGGGCGATGTTGTGGATCTTCTGTGGGCTCTTCGTGACATGTGTATATCGTGACAGCGTAATGAGAAATGTGGGGTGTGTAAGTAGACGACGGATACTAGGAAGGCCAGGGGTAGAATATGGTCGAAGTGCTATGTAGGTTGTGCGTGGCGCCATGGGTTTGGCTAGAATGCTCCGAGCGCTGGCCACACGACCGGAACAATACATACACACAGCAGTGGGCCTCAGTGTACGAACGCAAAGCCTTGTACACCACGGCCCACTGGCTGCAGGGACCTTGGTTACCGGTTGCAGTGCATATACTACGCCAGTAGCTCATTCGAATGATGGTGGGGCTGCTGTAGCAACTTACCTCCAGCGCGACACAGAGTGCTGCGATGAGCGCAAATGTGCAGTTGATCCCTACGAATATCAGCCCGCTCTGCCACACGCACCCTTCTTTCTCGCACCTGCTGATGCCTATCAATACACAAGTTTATTACCCAATGAAGGAAAAATGAGAAGATGAAACACTGAGAAGGATCGAAGGCCAAGAAGAAGCCGTCGAGGGCTGTGCGGCTGGGCTGTGAGCACCTCAAGCCAACTACACGGCAGAGTATACGAAGGAAAGGGAACCAATTGACCTGTTTCATAGAATACGATCCCTTATATATCAGCTCAGAAGAAGTGAATTCGTTTTCCAGCTCCAGTGCTTTTAGAAGACTTAGAATTGCGTGTATCTACGCGTAGAACAACCAGTCGGGATTTGTCGCAATCGTCCGAGCACACACACCGACTGACTTACACGCGACACTCAAACACACAAGGTGTGCACATCCCCAATGGCCACTCACCCTCGCAACCCAACTTGTACTATAGACCCCGAAATCCATACAGAACATACTTTCACCAACAAACTTGAACTTGGTATCGGTTAAAAAATCTTGAGCCGAGTCGATGAAGAAGGCGATGAGTGCCACACAAATAGCTATCAGGGCGGTAGTCAGCCATCGGGTCTTCTCGTATCTAATCACCTCTTTATTCAGCACGAACTTCTCTCTTTGAGATTTACGGAAAATCGCGTTCTCGCACCTGCGAGGATATGGGTTATGTGTGTCTAATATCGCATTTGTGGTATTTGGGTGGATGGCTGCTCACGAATACATATGAGAATATAAACGAATACACACAGACACAGACACAGACACAGACTCCAGATATATGAATACATACGAACTGCCAAGAAAAATATACATATACAT